AAGGAGGCTAAACGGCGCGAGGGTCTCTTAGCGCCGCTAAGGCAGATATGATAGCGGGTTTCGACATTTCAGAGCCGAACAACTAAGGAGGCTAAACGGCGCGAGGGTCTCTTACCGCCGCTAAGGCACCTTAGCGCCGCTAAGGTCGGGTACTTGATGAAAAAAGGACGAGCCTCTTCAACATAACTCACCTCTCATCTCTCAAACACAACCCTCGACCATACCTCTCCACCGCACCTCATCTCCGACCAACCGACGACCACCGCCAGTCATTCAACCTCCGACCGACCGTCGCCTGCACATCACGACCTTCGACACACCATCATCCTCCGTCGACTTTGTCGTCTACGTGAATCCATCACCACCGAACCCTACCTCTTGAATCACCGCCATCTCCGACCGTCCTCTTGTTTCCGGCGACTCACCAACGGCGCTACCTCCGACCAACCACAACCGGCGCCCCACCTCCGGCTAAACTCACATTCAATCCGGGAAAACCGAGCTCTCCACCGAACCCTAGTTCGTCAAATCGCTCTTTTACGGCCCGAATTCTCACCGAGAGGTATCGATAGCTTCCCTTAACTGCGAATTGGTTGATTGTTGTGGCGTGAGGAAGCCTATTCTGAGCCCGTACCATCGCAAATTGTTCACAAGCTTGCAAGCCCTAACTCCGCACGCCAAGTGTTCGATTAATTGCCCGAAACAACAATCATGGTTAAAGGCAGAGCTAACTCGAAGAAGAAGGCTCCCGCAACTTCAAAGGGCAAAGCGGCAGCCTCCACGAGCGCCAACCCCAACCCGGCAGCCCCGGCCTTGTCCTTAGCACAACAACACGGTATTCCCTTTGAAGTCGTGTCGATGGACGAGGTCCAGGCGTACCAAAGGCTTCACGCCAGGCCCGTTCTAGCTCCCCGCTATCTCGATTGGGAGTATTTCAACGACGAGCTCGAGATCGGTGACGATATCTTCCGCTACATCAAGTTGCTCGATCTCGAGGAATTCGAGGATACGGAGGCGTATGCTTACCGGTATTTGACTCCGGAATTCTTCAGCAGCGTGCCACCTTCCGGTCGAAATCGAGCACAAAGCTTTTTGGGCGATAAAGCGGATGAATTTTGATCTTGATGTAGCCGGACGTGAGCGGATGTGGCAACTGTCAGAACTTGAGGAGTTGAGGAACGAGGCTTACGAGAACTCCAAATTTATATGTGTTTATCTATATTTTTGTTAAAAAAAAACAAAAAAACAAAAAAACGAGAGACTGAATTTGTTCCAGGTACCGCGCCGCAAATGTGCCACGATCCGGACTGTGGCTTTTGCCTTCATTACGCTTCGCGCCGCGGCAGTCATCGCACCGCGGGACTCCACTCCTCGTCGCGCCGCGAGTTCACCACGATCAGGACTGCAGGTTTCGCTTTGCAACGCGTCGCGCCGCGGAAGGCATCGCGCTGCGGCATCTCATCTTTCGTCGCGCCGCGGGACCACCGCGATACGAACTGCGGGTTTGGGAACTTCGGACGTCGCGCCGCGGCACACCTCACGCCGCGGCCCCTCACAGTATTTAAATGCTCGACCTCCTTCCCATTCATAAATCAGATTTTCCTTTCGCGAACCCTACACCATCGTCCCCGACCATCGGCTCTTCAACTACCTCCGGCCACCACGCGACCACCGCCCGCCCTATCGCTGACGACCCTCCATACCGGCGATCCTCAATCACCGGCGAAGCCATCCCCTCACACCATCCCCACCGTCAACCACTTCCGGCCACCGGCGTTCAGTCCATAGCTCCGCACATCGGGGTCATATCCGGCCAGCTAAAGTCTTCCTCTCCGACCAGCGAGCACGTCCGTTCATCCGCCACAGTTCACAGCCACACCACACGGCCCCTTCACTTTTTCGAGCTTCTTCATAGCGTATTCGCATTTTGACGCCCGGTAATCGATATTCTTGTGGTATTGTGACAAATTCATGTTGTTTGGGTTGGATTGTTACGTATTGAATTGAAGTTGGAGTTATTTCGGGTTTCTTTTCACTCAAGTGCTCAATACTTTCCCAAGTCCTATTCTTGCACTCAAAGTGTTCGGTGAATTGTTCGTGAGAAATACAATTCCAATATGGTGAAAACGAGGAATGCAGGTCCTTCAAAAAGCAAAGATAAAGGAAAGGCCATCATCGTCGCTCCACCCGAGTCATCGAACAGATCGAGCATGCTTCGGGAGACGAAGCAGAGCCCGCCCATTTCGACTATGACCCTTACGAGCAGGCGCCTGCGTGGTTCGTCGCGTATCATAAACGCCAAAATGAGTATCAGACTCGCCAGGAGGAGTACCTGCGAACCATCCATGCCGAGGTTAGTTCGCACAATGCTCGGGTGGAGGCCTACATTGCGAATAATGACAAACGTTGGAACCAGTGGGACGAGATGCATGCAAAGCACGAGTCCCGTTGGGACGACTGGGAACAGAAGCAGTTTGCCCAGTGGAACCAGTGGAACGATCAGTTTCAGCGGTGGGACACTCGGTGGAGCTCGGGTTCTGACCAACCTCCTTTACCTCAACCGCCACCGTCGGACGCACAATGACTTGTATTTTTGTTGTTTTAGTTGGTGACCAGTGACAATGAGTGCGGGTATTTTGCTTTGCTATTGATTTTGGTGATTTCTGTTGATTTGCACATCATCATATATTTGTACCTCGTCTTATGGTCATGGTCATGTTCAAGTTCATGTTCACAACTAGATTTATACTTTATCATGATTTTTCTCTGTGCAGCAATTTTGCACTGCAGATCAACATGACCAAAAATGCCATAGCAAAAAAATAAAAAAAAAAAAAAATAGCTTAATTGCCATAGAAACGAATTAGTGACTATGCTGCACATTCACATCCAGAAACGAATCAGTACGCTTAATTGCCATAGAAACAAAAAGCCACAACAAAAGATGACACTACTTCGACACGGGATTACTATGACCAAAAATTGCTAATGCCATTTTTCGTCTATATAGACTTATGTCCGGCTTCCGGGGAATGTCCTCGCCAAGCATACGTTCAACGTACATGCAAGCAAATACACCACAATTATGGATATCCTCTTGAACAAATTGAACTTCACTCGGCATTCTCTTAATCGATAAGGCATCTAACTTGGGCGGAATATTCATAGTTTCAAAGTAACCGGACCGGTGAAGTAGTGTAGGAAGTAGTCGTCGGAGAGGGGTCAACATAAGCTCTCGGTCATTACTCGCCTTCGATGATGAAAGGTGGCTTAAGGAGTCGTAAAGCTCGATCTCCCAATCCAATAACCGTACCCGGCACACCACCCAATGTTCGTCAACATTACATACTAAAATGACCTGTCATCCGGAGTTACAAACCAACAATGTTATAAATGTTACAAGTACATTTCAACTTCACATATAATAAAAACGGGTTGAGAGAAATTACAGACTTCATTTATGAGAAAATTAATTGCTACCAACAAACTGTTGTCACAATGCAAAATTTGCTCACAATGCAAAACGAAGGTACCAAAACATGGATTTTAAGTATAGTACTTGTATCAAATTCACAGCCTTTGAATAAAACAAACACCATATCTACTGAACATGCCGGCACACCAAACATATACACTCTTCTCGTTGTACATAGCAGCTACATAATCAGAAAGAAAGAGTAAAATGCAGAATAATGTAAAGCAATATCTTCCATTCTTGTCACATGTGCACCTATATATGTGTAATTCACATTGACCACGAACAAAAGAAAAACTTACATCGGTATTTGTATGCCAAGGAGATCCCCAACGAATAGCACTACCACGAACATATTTGACCAGAACCGGAGGAACATTCCATCTCTCATAATTTGCGTCGTCTGGATAGCTCTGCCTACATTGAGGATCGTCGGGATGAAGCAGTTTCCATTGATCCGACAACAAGCGCTGAAAATAAGTATTAAGCATCAACATGAATCATTCAAGAAAATATAAATTAATTAAGCAAAAAACATAATCAATGGAAAGAGCAATTACAAATAGAGCGCAATCCTGAATGTTAATTCTTGAAGCAGATACTCCCGACTTCAATTTGACCCCACTGTACAACCTCCGAGAAAGCACGTCCAAAAACGGATCGATATGCTACAAAAATTATAAATTATATTAATTTTTTGAACTACTACATTCGAGTACTGAGATTGAATTCTAAGGAACAATTGCTTACTTGATTAGAAAGCATAGTCCTGACACCCTCAATTGCTTTAAAATATTTTGGCCCTTGATACCAAGTAGGTTCTAGCCCAACGTTTAACCTAACAAAAAAATAAATGAAAGAGAAATATGGCTTCATGTTAAGAGAATCTAACTTAGAAAATTCACACATATGCTATAAATTTTAAAAATCTAACAAGTGACATGCTACTTACTTTGGAGATTTCTTCTCCTTCTTCCAATTTTCGTATTTCACCTGTAATTGCTTCTCAGTTTTCTTCTCCCGGTAGTCAACGTATGGTGAGGAAAGCTTGCTAGTTTTGAACTTAACGCGTAATATTCGACCATCACCATCACCATCCGTCAAACCACCCCCTTTTGTCGGATCTAGAGTCATAGCAGCTACATCCTGTGAGGGGCCAACTTTGCCAATACCCTCATTCTCATCCACAACATCCTCACGTAGAACACCATGATCACCGGACTCAACTACCTGTGTTTTGGAACAGCTTGAAAGAATTAAGATTACAACCAATAGTTATTTAAAATTTTCAGATAATAAAAAATATTACAAACTTCAAAAACAAAACAAGTTTTAAGGATGTAAACAATCAATTTTTTTTTTCGGCGCACCCCAAATATGGGTGCGTTGCAGAGAATACAAACTTACAAAATCAGTTTTTTCGTCGGAATGGTCTCTTTCTTGCCTCCATTCATCCTTCCCCAAATCATCCTTCGCGGTATCCAAATCGTGAGATTCGGGGCGGGGCGCGCTTCGAACGATTAGATAATCATCTAATCGTTTAATCACCTCGCTAACCACCGCGTCAACAAACCGAGGGAACATCCTAGAAAAAGCCTCATCAATTTTTTGCGAGACAACATCTTCAATCTTCGCCTCGTCAACTCCGGTAGACGATCCAGGTGCTCTTTCAAATGCAGCTGGATGTGGTCTTTCCGGCACAACATGAGCTCGTCTTTTTGCTGGCGGGATAAGTTCATCTTCTTCAGAAATATCTGGATTGCTTGCAGAATGGGCCTTCTTTGAGGGTCGCATTGTCTTCAACACCCGTCCACGCGTTTTGGCAGATAACTTATTCATCGACAATGGTTGACAGTTGCTCACCCACGGATCACGGTGAATGTATTGAACATTCGATGATAAATCCTTGCCGATGTCCGCCATATAAGAGGCGTTCCTCTCCTCGGCCGTTATCACCATAGGTGTATATGGAATCTGGCACAAAAAAATATAACAAATAATCAATCGCCAAAACTAAATTTTTATATTAAACATGCACGTCATACGAAATTGATTTTTAATGAAATCAAGAATTACCTCAACATTATCAAGTTCATTGGCACGATTGAATGGCACCTTTCCACATGTCCATCGAGCGCCCCTAGGAAGGTAGTCACCCTTCCGTAACATTCCAGAATCCTTTAAAATTTCGGGAAATAATTCACAAGCCCAGATCTGTGTGGAAAATATAAAACAAACAAAGTTAAATAATCAAACCGCATCATTACAATAATATGAAATAATTGAAAAAAAAAACATTTACCTGAAGCGCCATGACATACCCGCAGATATAGAATTGCACTTTGCCTCCACCAGCCGGCGGTTTAATCTGATTTTCTAGATAGTGGTGAAGACGCTGGAAAGCGTATGAACCCCATGGAAATCGCTCAAATTTTGTTGTGTCTTCAACCAGTGTCCACAACCACAATGGCACCGACATCCTCGAGTCTGGGGACAGAATCAAGAAGAAGACTACGAGGATGAAAGCCACTTTAAGAGTCTCGTCCTCCTTAAATCCTTGGAAAACATCATCCTCCTCAAATTGTTGTTGAACAAACTTAGACAACAAATCCTTTCCGAGCACAATCTTACCGTCGAAATATCGACGGTAAACTCCATTAGCCGGTGGGAGGCTCTCATTGGTATCTGGGTCAAAGTCCGAACTGCCAAATCTTAACCCGGTAATCGCGCAAAACTCTTCTTTTCCAAATTTGTGATTGCGACCACCAATCCGATAATAACGTTCTTTTTCCCGAGAGTTGTCCACCTTTACCTCTCTCCCAAACAGTGCCAAAAGTAATTTGCCACTGTTATAAGCATTGTCATGGAATTTCAAGAAGTGACCGAAACAAGAGCGTTCAAATTCTGCCAGACGATTGGATGATAGCCTTTCTTTGATATGGTGAATGACCTCAGGCTTCGTGTGACAGTTGACTTTACCCATCCAATTGCGAGAGCTATCCCACCTCCATTGCCAATTATTATCCTGTGATGTTCAACATAATTAAAGTTAATACAACTACAAAGTAAATACATAATTTAGAAAGAAATGTATAACCTTATTTGTTAACCAAGCAAAGTAAACAAAAAAAATGAAACACTAGTGATTTTTGAGCAATAAGAAAAAAAAAAAAAAAAAACTAACCTCAATAGGAGAAGTCATTATGATGTCACTCTGTGATTGTGGAAGGAAACTAGTTCAGTTTCGGGGAAAAGCCGGATGTACGTGGATCGATTCCTCTCCACCGATAAATGCCTGAAAAAAAAAATTGAAAATCGCCAAATTGAACACATCACTTTAAGAGGTGAATGCTAATTCATGAAGAGACAACCTACAATTACAATAAAATAAAAATAAAAATGTCGGGTCAGTAGTACCCCATAAAAAATGAGATTGGAGTTGAAATCGAGAAAATTTTTCATGACAAGGCAGGGCAACTTAATCACTGAATGCTTAAGTCGGTGAAATTAACAAGGCCAACAGAACAAGAACAAGATCAACAGTACAAAAATGTTTTTGATTAAAAAAAAGGTGCCAAAAGGAGGATATTGACAGAGATTTGGAAGACAAAACATTTTAAGAAGCATGATACATGAAAGAGCTTCAACAAAATTTATTTGACAACACAGTAACCGAGCATAACAATTTCAACCCTAATCAATTTTAACCTAATCAAAAACATTTCAACCAAAAAACATTTATTTGACAACACGGTATCAATTTAAACCTCAACACAGTTTCACATAACAATTTCATGGGTAACATTTTAAGAAAACAATAATCAATTCAACCCTAATCAAAAACATTTCAACCAAAAACCTAATTCAGTTCAAAACATTTTCAGAAGTATTGACGCACATAATACTTGGTACAGTCAAATTAGAAATGGTGAGAAGCTTGTCAGGTTTCAATGTTCATTTGGACAGAGTGAATGAACAATAAATTTCATTCCACAAGACAACCAGACTATTTCCACACGATCACTAAACAGAAATACACAGTAACATATGGCAAAGCCTCGTGTTTATTTGTCAACCACGATCATCAGAGAACACCTTAGCTTAAGTCCTTTAATATGGAAACAAATGCACCAATGGAAACTATATTTTTTTTTTCTTCGTCCGACATATTCAAAACACTAATTACAATGTTATAATGATATCAACAGTCCAAATCGACAAGTCTGTGCAGCAGATAACTCTTTATCCAAGTTATAAACCTAATGATGAGCTGAGGTAATAAAACAAGACATTGAAACAATAAATAATCAAAATCACGAACACAGCCAAGACCCCAGATTTGAGGCAGAAATCAATAACCATCCATTTACTGCTCCAATCACTGAACTCCCAGAACGTATTTAGCAAAACCCAGAACAAAAAAATTCAAAATAATCGGTACAGAAAATACAAAATGGAAAAGCACCAACCGCAATCACAGCACGCCGGCGGAGCAATGCAGGTGCGGCGGAGCAGAGCGGGTGCGGCGGAGCAGAACGGGTGCGGGAGACAGCGGGTGCGGCGGAGAGCGTGAGGGAGACAGCGGGTGCGGCGGAGAGCGTGAGGGAGACAGAGATTTCGGCGGAGAGACCGTGAGAGAGACAGAGATTTGGGCGGAGGGCGTGAGAGAGCGGCGGAGACCGTGAGAGAGAAAGAGATTTTGGGGGGAAATGAAAATGATAAAATGATAAAATGAAAATGGTAAAATGAAAATTAGGTTAGGGGTAGTTGAGTAAAAACATATGCCAAAATGGCTAAAAAAGATGATTTTTACAAATGGTGGCTAAAATTTGTGTTTTGAAAACTTATTTGGCTATTTAATGGTATTAACACAAAGAAAAGAGTGTTTGACTAGAGGGTATAATAGTAAGTTGATATTTAATATCATTACTTAATAAATTTTAAATGAGTGTTTGACTAGAGGGTCATTTAAACAAATAAGTTTGTAGAATAGGTTATTTGAGCTAATTCCCACCCCTTGAAGGTGTCCTCTGGCAAAATCGGGATTTACGTGACGATCATGTCCCTTGTCCTGTAAATTGTTGTCTACGAACTATATGAGTTCTCGGCTCCTCGATTTCACAATTTCTTGCGCGAGGAAAGGGCGGATGATTTTCGTAAGGCAGATATCTGATTCGAGAACACCCATGCGTATTCAGTATCTCTTCCAAATTTTGTGTTTGTTGATCAATTTGGTAGAAATTTAGAACGTGGGGGCTCGGGTTCTTGTTGGGTTCGCTCGAAGTGTGTTGATAAATTGGAATTATGAAGTTAGGGTTTGTTTATTAGAAATTTTAATCTTGTAATATCTATTGTTAATTGAAAGTTGTTTTCATGTTGCTTGACAGATGTCATGTTGTTGTTTTCTTGTTGCGACCTTCACTGTCAAATTCCTATACGGTGTTTTAGATTCAGAGAGATCAGTGATGGCATTGATACTCTGTTTTTATTTCTTCATTGTAGGGAGCAGTCATATGATTAGCCGTTTATTTCACCGGGGCTAGGCGCTTATCCTGGATTAAGGTTTTTTGTTTTATACCTATTTTACTTGCTTTTGGTGGTCTGTAGCTTATTTCAGTTTATCTAACCATTCAATTTCAAAAGTTAGGGTTTGGTTATATTGATTGAATATAAATTTGTAGTTAATTGATGTTGGCTTGACTGGATATAATCTCCGGTTACTTTTCATTTTTCTTCCATTTATCCGGTTATTTTTCCAATTGCAATATCTGTTTTTTCCTTTCAAATCTGTGGTTGGCGAGAAAAATTTCAAATATGATGATTGTTCATTCAGGGAGGACAACTAGGCTACAACCGCTGAAAAAAGTTTGAACTTGCCCAAGGATAGCCAGATGCGGAATGAGGTAACAAATTTAACTTGCTTTTTTCTTCTTTTTTTTCAATGATCATCCATGATTTAGAGTAATCCTCTCTATCTATGACTTGCTAGGGAGCACTCCCATTACGCAGAAGTCGCAGACTGATGAAAAAAGAATTGTTGCCTGGGCGAAAGAGGCCTTCTTTTCCTTATTACACGTCTCAGACTTAGGTTCTCTCTCTCTCTGTCTCTCTCTAGTTTTCTTAGCTACCCCGAACTTAACCTGCAGTTATATTTTAGTGCTTTATACTATTGGGATTAACATAGAATTGCTTGTTCTTGGTTGTTTGTCCCCAATCCCCATTTAATTTGTCCTCCTCTAATATCTGTTTGCGTGGGTTATCTACAGTTGCTAAATAATTTTGTCTTATGTATATATATATCTTGCAGAGGGTCCACATCTTATGTACCAAAGGGAAACTAATGAAACGTTATACGGGAAAGGAGATAGCGGAGACTGTATTATGTGAATACAACAAGAAACACGTCCTCATTCTATCTTCGTCAATATAAATTGCTTTCTTTTTTTTTGTTTATAATTTATTAAAATACTTTAATATTATTTTGAATCTCAATGGAACTGACTTGGAGTTATTGAAGGTTTTGGACGACAAGGAATTGTATTTCTTTGGACCTGGTTGTTCCCTTGAGTTTGATCAAGAGTATTGTTATTGGTGGCATTTGAATATTGAGGCCAGACTATGCAGATCAGGTCCTAATAACGCAAAACCACTTCTTCTCTTTGTTGAATTGAACACTTCCGAAACGAATTATCTTTCAGCACTGTCACTCGTGGCGCCTACAGATAAGTGTAATGCCTCACAACATCTTTGTGCTGCTTCGTTATTTTTTTAATCCAATGTGTGTTGCTTCATGCATGCGTGTCTATATACAAACATTGATACTACTATATGCAAGGTTACTTAGGCTCTGTTGTTTCCTGGTTTTTTTTTTTTTTTACTCTACTTTTTCATTCTGTAGTACTAATATACAAACATTAATACAACTAGTAGTATCCTTTTGTATTACTGGCGATTCTTTCATAGTTTCTAGGAGTTGAAAGAATGGTGCAATCAATAATATTTTAATGTGGAACGGTATCCTATTCACAACATTATCTTGTGCGGAATGTATAATCACAGTTGTTGCATTTGTTGTTGGTTGATATTTATTGCTTTTCATTATTCGGAATCTATTTTGAACTCAATGGTTTCTGGTGCAGTCAATGGTTGTCAGAAATGCTGGTCTTTCTTGAGCCATCCTCGTTATGGATTTCGTGCTGGTTTTGATGCCTCGTAATATCTTTTCTTATGTCTTCTGATTTTATTTTATCTTTTGATGATTGGTGAATGAATAAAAAGAAAAACTGATACTATATTTTCATGATGCAGCAAGGCCAGTGATCCTAAGCAATTGTTGGAAGATGATGCTGTCAAATTGTCACAACTTGCATTACAAGACTACAACGAGACACATGTTATTTCTCTCTTCTCTTTATATTTTGCTTTTCACTGCATATAGCCATTCATCTCTCATTCCTCATCTTTTATTGATTGAACAAATAAAAAGCAGGGAACAAACTTGAAGTTTGAAAGGGCTTTGGGATGCAACAGTTTACTTGTACTGGGATTTCAATGGACTTTGCCGAGAAGTGTACACGTTGGGTGCATGTGAACTTTGAGGCAAGGGTGGGTTTTGATCATAGGGAACTATTGCGCCTCATGTTTGCTGAATTCTATTTAGAGAATGATGATAAATACGTGCTTGCTACATTGTCACCTGCGGAGCCTGAAGAGCAGCAAAACACTATTGAATCGTGGACTGATGGTTACCCGGGTTAGATAATTCTGTTAAATCACAACATTATTATTATTATTATTATTATTATTATTATATTATTATTATTATTATTATCACAATTGGTACGAAAAAGTCTATTTTCGGGTATTTTTATTTTTTTTGTTGCTAAAAATGGTCCCAGTACTGTCAACACTAACGTGGCTCATGTGAAGACGTTATTTGGGACCAATTTTGCATTTTTCCCAAAAAAAAAAAGCTCTTCAAGTTCGTGCAAATTCTTTTGATGTTTCATTCAAAAGTGGAAAAGTGAGTTTTTGTTTAAATAGTTTGACTTACTTTTAGAAGTATTTTTTGAATGAAATTTAAAATCAACAGGGCTCACGTGCAAGACGTTACCAACTTTTGGAACTTATCATATAAGACATTTTGTAATTTCATATTTTTTAATTTGAAATTCAAATAAGTCTCTTTCATTCATTCAAAGTCGAAACGACATAATAAAATCAATTTATTATGAATATAATGCGGGAGATAAATATTAAAAATAGTGTTATAAAAATAAATATCAAGTTATTATTAAGTTAATTTTATAAATTAAATATTGAGAAACATAAACATGATTTACTCTTTTTTTTTGTGGTAAGTCACACAATTGAAGCATTTATATATATATATATATATGTGTGTGTGTGTGTGTGTGTGTGAATTCTTTATTAATGGGTGGATAAATTTCAATTTGAGTTGGAAAAGTAAACAATATAATTGATAATTGAGTAGTATTTTTATTCTAATTCTTTTTACCGTCATTACATTGAAAAAATTGACAATTATTTTAAATATTATTTAAATTAAGAATAATTAAAAATTATACTATTTTAATTAAATAGAGCAAACTGTAACACCCACTTCAGATTTAAAGAAAATAATAATATTTTCAAGTAATTTTAACTTTTCATAAATTTGAAATTCTTTTTCTTGGATCGTTACTCAAAAATACTCTTTCTAATTTGAAAACTCTAACTTTTTTCTGATCTCTTATCTCAGCTTGAAGCTTGCTAAGGGTAAAAGGGACTTAACTCCCAAAAACAACTCGAGACATGTAATAAACTCAAAATATAAATGCATAAAATCTCAAACAGTTCAATCTCATACTTCTATAATCCAAACATGAAAATCATCTCACAATCCAGTGTCTCGACATGAAATAATAATGAAAATAAATCTGCAAATGTCTGAAAATAAATATTTGAATAAACAACTACTGATCATCCCACTTGCCCTTCAGTGCCGCCAATCCAGCTGCTTCACCTGAAAATGTTAGTTGTGGGGGATGAGCATAAATAATCAACGTGCTCATATTTAGCCCATAAAGTACGTACATTCGAATTAAACAACTAATACCTTGTAAGTAAACATAATACACAAATAATGGTTTCGCACCCGGCTATGGTGCCTCTAAAGTTCTCGCACCGTCTGGACGACACATCTAATCTCATCTCTTTTCTTTTCTTTTCTTTTCTGTTCTTATGTCATTGGGCCCCGCTAAGGGAACTAGCTAGCATACGACATATCTCATCTGAAAGAATAACTACAAAAATAGTTGTTTATACCGCACAGGATCACGGTATAAAACTGAAAACTGGAAACACTTAATTCATGCAAATAACGACAAACAAAAATACCACAGTGTTTAATCAGAAGGATGTACTAGATAGACTTCCCCACCTGGATATTCTGGTTCTGCTAAGGATGAGTCGCCGCTTATGCGGAAACTCGAGAGCTCGACTCCTCGAAATCTACATAAAAGTAAGTGATACTCGGATCAATTTCTAACTCTATCTCGGTAAACTAATTACCAACTTGAAGGATTTTCTAGCTTAAGGTTCATGGCTTAAAAATTTTCTGCTCTTTCTTAGATGTTGGAACTCTCGACTCGGACTCTTTAAAAATTCTCGGAATTTATTCTTTAAAAATCTAAAATTAGCCTCGACTCGAAAAATCATTTTAAAGCTCGGGATAATTTCTAAAAATGCTAAAAATAGCTCAGGATACTCAAAACAACTCAAAATATTTGAAACAATGTGTTCGGGCTTGACTCGGGCTCGGCCGGACCGGTCTGGCCGGTAGCGCGGGTGCTCCAGGTGCACGACTGATGCGACCTGGTCCGGCGGCTGCCTCGACCTCATGCTGGGCCTGTTGTCGGGTAGCTCTCGTGCGCGCGCAGGGCCACGGGCATGCAAGTGCGTCTCTGGCTGGCTCGGGGTGCTGCTGATGCGGGTACTAGCTGTAGGGAAGGCAGAGCGCTGGCTATGGTGGNCCAGCGCCTGGCGGCGTCTGTGGCTGCAGCAGTTCGACACCGAGTGACGACTATTCTCGACGAACGCCTCGACCTTTACACTACCTCTTACGACTAGTTTAAAAATTATATTTTTGGAGTCCATAACATCAAATTTTTCATGAAAATATTGGCTAGCAATAATTTGACAAAAATCTCATTTACTCTAAATTTTCTAAGGCTTTGAACTTGAACTTTTAAACACTTCTCATGGCCTCCAAAACATCACTATACCAGATGTTAAGAGTGGCAAAATAGGAGTTCTAACCCAATAAAAATCGCAGCTATCTCCTCTCCCTTTTTCAAAATAAAAAGGCTCGATTTGACCTATAAAAACCCCATTCCTAAAACACATCTCAAGGCTTCTTAAAACACCAACAAACCATGTTATTTAGGCTCTATATTAGAGGTTAAAACCTCAGAAAAACGCAGCACTTAAATAAATTTTTCAAAACCCAGTAAGGCTCCGAACAAGACAACAATTAATCCCGATTTTTCCACAACTTTAACCAATTATCCCGACCCTCTTAAACATCAAAATTATTAATTTCTAGAGGCTAAAATGATGTCCTAATCGAGGTCCAACATCAATTCTCATATCACAATACTTTAAATCTCATGAATTTCTCGAAATTCAAATGTATCTCATCTCCATGAACCCTAAACCATATGAAATCCTTCAAAATGAACTCTAAATATTCGAAGAAGATTAGCCATATACCTCCTTTAGGATTAGAATGAGACGCGGATGAAAAACTGAAGTCGGGTGGCCTCGGACGTGACAAAACTCGGCCTCAGCTGCTGCAACTAACGGCAATGGGCTGCTCGACGGGCGATGCTGCTGTTCTTGTTCGGCTGATCAATGATGGAAGAAGAAAGGAGCTGCTTCTCGCGGCTCCTCCTCGGCGATGGTCGGCTGAAGGCTTGAAGGCGATCAGCTGGGGTTTTATAATGGTGATGATGGACGATATGAAGGATGAAAGAAGGAAATCTGATGGTGTGCGAGGTAAAGAGATTTCTGGATATCGAGTGTTTGCAGCGTGCTTGTGTTGAAGAAAACCAAAAAAATAAAAATAAAAAATCATGTTTTTGAGTTAGGCTTGGATATAAATTAATATTCTTTATCAAAGTAATATATTTTCTAATTGTTAAAATATAAAACATTAGGGAATATATCCAAAGTAGTTACAATGCGGAGCTTGATGCCTTAAAATTAGGAACCTATTTATCATAATAATATATTCCTTCCAAAGTAGTTACAATGCGGAGCTTGATGCCTTAAAATTAGGAACCTATTTATCATAACTAGTACGAATCCCGTGCAATGCACGGGAGCATTTATTATCCATTTATTTTTTAAAAGGTATTTATGTATTTAAATTGTTTCATGCCATTAAAAATTTCATGAAAATGAAATTTATGTGTTATTAAACACTTCCTTATGTACAACATTATTGATTTGATTCTTTGACACGTAAAGTACTACATAGGTGTTCGAATTTATCCAAAATTTCATATTATTAGTTATTAGTTAACAAATTTTAAAAAAATTAAAGGATCTTATTTATTAAACAAAATTAAAGTAGAAAAAAAAAAGTAGAATTTTTTAGAGATTTACACCCATTATTTATTTTAAATCTAATTCTAAATTTTAATTAAGAAAAATTGAAAAGAATCATTAGTTACTCCTGGAAATGAAACCGATTTTCCTATCAATAAACCGATTTTTTTATCAAACATATTGATCCGAATTTTTTTTTTTAAACCAAATAAAAAAAATCATCAATTTTTCCTAAAAATGCAACCGATTTTTCCTAACATTGCACCAATTTTTGTATCAAACAAATTGAATTGAAAATAATTCTAATAACAAATTGAAATAAATTGTTAATGTTTATGATACTATCTCTTTCCTAAAGAAAATGATATGAACTTAACCAAGAAAAAAAAATGATATAAACTTACCAAAATCTCGGTAAAACATGGTTAAGAAAAAACATAAGAATCCAAAAAATTCAATGTATTTAAATTTGAAAAGTTGCACACAGTTTTTTTCTAAATAATTGGATAAGGTGACTTTAAATATCAATGATGAACCGTTTTTGTTACAAAAAATTGTGGACACAGTTTCGAATGTACATCCCGTCCAAATATCAGTTTTATTTTAAAATAAAAATTGCATGTGGCTTTATCCAATTTACAAAATTTTTTTGAAAGAAAAAAATATTCTATAAGATTGGAAGAATTGATTAAGAATTATACAACTATTTGTTTCCTAAATTTGTATCCAGTTTGCACGGTTTTTAAATTAATTTGTATTTAGAATTGTTTTTATAAATAATTGACATATTTTTTTGCATAAGAATCTCTAAATTTGTTACAAAAAAAAATATGATTTAAATTTTTGTAAAATATTAAATATGATAAAAAAAAATAGGATTCAAAATTTTCCATAAAAATCTCCAAATTTGTTACCAAAAAAATATGATTTAGATTTTGTTACTTAAGATTTACATGTGTTTTTTTGAACTTTTCATTAATAGTTAGTCAAACAATTATATTTATTTGGTCAAAAATTCTATTAATGTATTTTTCCAACAACCTCTTTATATATATATAGATAATATATTCCTTAATCGGTATGGGTTTTTATCTTTTAACGATTTTTGATTTGACATCCATATTATATATATATATAATACAAAA